GCACCAGCGCTGGAGGGACAGCTAAAAACTATAGGAAAGAGGAAGATGATCGGATTAAGAGGCATCATTTAAGGCAGGGCTCAAAATTTCAAGTCCTGAGCTACTAGCCAGGCCTTAAGAGTTACTAGCCACCAGTTGCCCCACCTTACCCTGGCCCGGCCTTAACTCCGCCCCTAAACACACCCTCTTAAAATAACCTTATGATAATTATTATCTTATGATAGTTGCCGCTTGTAAACAGCAGATTAGGGATTCCTGCTGCAGGAAAACACAAGTTCCTGACACAGGAATATCTCATCACACCTGAAATATACTGTAGGTGTGAGTGGGGCCTAATATACACATACACCTGCCGATTATCGTACGATAATCGGCAGGTGTATGGGCAGCGTGCGACCGCTTCTACTGTAAGCTCGTACGACTTTCGTCATCCAAGCACGCTGGAAAACCTGCCAAAAATTTTATGATTTTTGGCGGGTTGGTGGCGTGGTCGGAAGACGAATGCCGCACGGGCCGCTCAGCACTGCAATCATCGGAATAATACGCTCATCATAAAATAATACGCTCCCCCCTTACTAACCCCCCCACACACATAAAATAATACGCTCCCCCCTTATTAACCCCCCCCACACACATAAAATAATACGCTCCCCCCTTATTAACCCCCCACACAAAATAATAATACACTCAACCCCCCTAGCCCCCTCACCTGTTCACGTCTTTGCAGGGAGGAGGCTATGACCAGGATTGATCCCTGGTTATCTAGGGGTGATTAGTGAGGTCTGCAGCAGATCTCACTAATCACACCCAGATAACCAGGGATCGATCCTCCTCACATACATCCTTTCTTTCGGCCGGAGCTCAGAACTGTCAGAGCCCCGGCCGAAGGAAGCCAGAGCTGACAGGAGCTGCTCTGCGGTCTGCATCCGACACAGATGCAGACCGTGGAGCTGCTCCCGCAAGTCAGGTATGCGGTCTTCAACCATGTGCCTGACATGTCAGCTGTCTGCGGGTCACATAGTACTGGCTCGCGGGCCGGAGTTGGCCTGCGGACCGGTACTTGGAGACCCAAATTTCCACTCGCCCTCACTTTATTTTTACACGCCAAATGCGAGCAGGCGAGTGGAAATTATGAGACCTAATTTAAGGTAAGTCCTTACATTAATTACAGTGACTGAGTGGGAAATGGTGCAAGAACCACTAGACAGAATATGCAATTACCTATTATAAATATATGAAACACGCTCAAATGTTTATTTCTATCTGTAGTGCAATATCAAAATAGGTATGTACTGTCTTGTGAGCGCCTGTACAAAAGGACATGCAAATGTATATAACCTATTATTTATTTAACATTTCACTAAAAATAAGAAATACTTCTGATCTAGTATCTATGGCTCATTCTGTTTATTACCATGCTTACAACTTGGCAGCTGATTAAGGCGTTAAATAAAACATTGTTCCTTGGTTTGGACCTGATTTAACAGAATTGGATATCAAAAATGGAATATGAGTGGTAATAAAAATTGTAAACATCTAAAATAAATACTTTTAGTACAATTTGTACAGTCTGATACACCAAAGTGTGGCATGCTTATAGGTAGGTGTCTTTCCCCGCGGTGCTATGCTTTCTAATAGGCCTCCATCAGAAATCCAACCACTCCGACATATATATACAGTTTGATGGAGAAATATCCCCTCCTTCATGGCAGTCCTCAAAAACCTGTCAAGGTGAACAAAAGAAAAGAAATGTAAAGTGTATGTACAAATGCTATGAGAATATCAATATAATAAAATCACACTGATGCAGACTCAACAACACTCTCAATTCTGGTATTGCATGGTGAGACACTTGCACCTTGATCATTAATGAAGGCTCATAGGGATTATTTCATATACCTAAACATTTTTTATTGCAGACTATTTTACTGTAAAGCTTTAAAAACGCACTGGATAATGTGTAATTCTTTGTCGCATGACGCTAAAGTCATAAAAAAAAAAAACCATAAGGAATGTAATGCTTTTAAGGTATTTTTTTTTATCTCAATGTAGGTCTGTAGCACCCAAACAGTTTTATAACCCTGATTACCTTCTGACCTCTGTTCTAATGCTGTCACATGGTGTGTGTACGCACCTACCAACAGTACAGTATGTTGTGGACGGTCAAAGTGATCTTTCAGAGGTGGTGTCAGGCAACAAGTCAATAGGCAGACAGAAATAACAATGACTTAAGGCTAGAACCCGTATCAACCCATACAGATTTTCCATCTGGTAAAAATATTGTGTGTGGGGAAATCTAGAGAAGCCCCAAATAGCAGAAAAAAACCTGACGGGTTTTAATCGTACTCCACTCTCCCCAAAATCATGTGAGGCGGATTATACACGGAGCGAATCTCAACACCCCTCTGCTCAACAAAAGTCGATTTTTCGTCAGGAACTAGCCAAAATTCAAGCTGTGGGTGGCCCTATCTACATTCGTCCATTCAACAAAAAGTTGATTTTTCATTAGGAACCAGCTGAAATTTGAGCCATGGGTAGCCCTGTTGGCCAATCTGACAATGTTTGGCCAAACAGTGCCTGCAGCCAGTCAGATGCAGGCACAAGAGCAGGCAGTGGGAGATTCATCCATCTATGCTGTTTAGCGTGAATTAAGGAATCTGTAATTTTTATTTTTTTTCATTTAAACAGCAACTAAAGAAAAATCTGTTAGTGTTTGACCAGAGGCGAGACAAGAATGCCCCAAAAAATGTAGGTGGAAGATAGCAGAGGGGCCCAGGTGGAAGAGATGAAATGATCGTGTTTCTTCAATTTAGACTTTTAGTCCATAAAACACACGCATAACTATCAGAGTCTCAACATGTTTCGTGGCTCAAAGATGGCTACTTCTTCAGGAGGGTGTGATGAGACACTTTAAGCAGAGTGGTAGCAACTCTCCCGCCGTGTGTGTTTCATGGGATAAAAGTCTATATTGAAAAAAACAATAATTTAATCTATTCCATCTGGTCGCCTCTGCTGTCTTGCGCCTATGTTTTTTTTTGGCATTCTTGCCTCATCTCTCTAGATTAGAACAATGGTTCTCAACCTGTGAAACCTCAGGACCTACATTTGTCCTTGGTCATTAAGTCGCAAACCAAGTGGCACTGCATTGCGGTACCGTGCGTTTCGGTGCAGGTGATTGAGCTGTGGGCGGAAGGTGCGCTTGGGCTGCCATTCAAATAAATGGCAACACAACGCACCTCCAGCACCAGAACGCATAGTAGGTGTGATTGCGTAGTACAGTGCATTAATGGCACAGGACTGTTCAATTAATGCACTGTTCTAGTGTGAACGGGCCCTCAAAAATACTGACAGACACACACAACTACAGACACAATCTCACACACATATACACTCCAAAAACACATTTTAAATTTTCTTTTCTTTTTTTAAGATCCACCCAGTATCCCTATATTACGAGAACTGGAGTGGGTCCTCAGCCTGGGGTCCAGTGTGGGCTGCTGTGCTGTGTTGGAGCTCCATCCATATGCGCATTGCTTGTACAACTCCCTTGCACACCTTGTTGAGGTGCCAGTAGCCAGAATGTTTTTGTCACTCCGGTCCAGGCACCTCTAAAAGGACAGGTGAGGGAGCTGTAAGTAATGCATGTATGGATGTAGCTCCCTCGCAGCCATAGCTCCAGTCCACCCCACCTCAAGCTGACATTTGGGCATATTTTGAATGGCTGCTTGGCGCGAGAACTGACAGTGCTGCACTAGGAGAAGGCTGAGGAGCATCTTAACCAGGAAAAGTGAAAGGCAGGCGGCGACCCACTGAACACGGGCGTGACCCACTTTTGGGTCACGACCCACCAGTTGAGAACCAAGGCTCTAGAACACATCGGGTCCCTCTAGCTGCCGAGCTTTGGATCATCTGAACTCCACACCAAGGAGCATTGAGAGTGACCTTCCTGCTCGGGGACAAAAATATTCCCCGCACCGCCTTTTTGCACCTTAGGTTGCCCGATATCCCCAAGGGGATTTCTCATAACCTATGTGAGTATCACACTCTTTCTTCTACATTTATTTAAAATGTATCTATAGCTTTGAACTATAAAATACGACACAGTCGGATCTCTCCTGGGACTTTTTGCCCTCAATTTTGTTGCTCCTACTAGTTGGAGTTGTCTCTCATTCAAACTTATATTTGTCTAAGGCTTTTTGCCAAGATTGCAAGAGAAACATACAGCAAGCACACTTTAAGGCTGGGTTCACACCTGGGCGTACGGAATATGCGCGTTTTGTGCCACACGTTACCACGTTTTGCGGTAAAAGAAACACGCGTTTACGAGGGCTATCCGGCTGTATCCTAATGGATACGCGCGGCAAATACGCCCGAAAAAGCTCCTGTACTTCTTTGGGCGTTTTTCAGCGTGTTGTTACGCGCTGTAAAACGCCCAGGTGGGAACCATGCCCATAGGCAATTATTGGTTTTCACATGTTGAGCGTTTTGTAGCGCGCTGTAAAACGCCCAGGTGTGAACCAGGCCTTACAGGTCACATCAAGCAATCTTACCGGGCACAGGCCACAGGGTGTACGCACTAAACCTGCTGGCTGTATGATTGGGTTTACTCCTCTGTAAAGTTTCATCTGTCCATCCACACTGCCCACTGTTCCCTCCTTTGCTGCAATTATGGTAATTTCTACCTTCCCGTCATAAATCAGCGTGTTTAGAATAGTTTCTATGTCTTCCATTGACAATTCAACCTTAAAAAAAAAAAATTTAAGAGATTTGATTTCTAAAATCATACATACATTTTGTTACATTTCGTTATTTGTTACATTTCTTTTTGTTCAATAAATTTTTATTAATAGTTTTTTGAGTTTACAGATATACAAATCACAACATCAGGAAATGTGCAACGGGTAAGCAAACAAAGGTTATCAACACCCAAACGAAGGGAACACACAAGGAAGGGAAAGGTGGGTACAGGGGATCTCCCCACGTCTCCCCCCCACCACCATTGTGGTGGGGGGGAAAAAGTATCAATCCGAGGTGACCAACTCACATTGTACTTAGTCATGGTATAATTTTTTTAGAGCAGTAAGCTTCTTTAAAAAAAAGCCAGGAGTATGGGACATGAGATTGAAAAATAAACTAAGGGAAAGGGTGAGGATCTTCCAGGATCTAACGATCACTCATTTAGCTGCTGTAAAAATTTGCTGAAGCAGTTTAAACTGAGTCGTGGTAACGCCTGGTGGTTTCTGACTAAGAAGAGCAATATATGGGCTTCTGCTAGGTGTGAAGCCAAATGTCATGTGGATTTTACTCTATATATATATATAATCTGAACCAAAAACAGACGACAATCAGTCCATCTCACCACACATGGGCAAAGGTGCCATTTACAGAAGAGCCCCCATGGACCGAGAGCCCGACAGTGTCAGGAGCGAGAACATCCCCTCCTCTCTCTGCCGAGTCCATCACCAAGATGGCCGCCGGCAGGTGTCAATTAGATGAACGTCCATGCGCGATGATGTCACGGTGGGGTGTCACCCAGTCTCTGCTCCAGGTGTCACCCAGCCTCTGCACGCCCCTGCGTCGGTATGGCCTCAGAAATCCTCTACGGGACCAAGTACCACCTCATAAACAGCTTATAGTTGGTCTCAAGTGCTGACACTGTATTGGATCTTTTAGAAGTAGAGATCCAGATTTGGGCCCAGTCCTCGTCTGTCACCACACGATTTGTTACATTTCTTTAATTCATCAAATGACTACCTCTATGCCGGATCTGCTGATAGATTAAAACATTCTAAATTTTGATCTGGATCTAACAAGGGATAACTGCTTCTTGAATATACAAATTCACTGTTACCAGTAAATATCCTACCCATAACAGACCTGAAAAGATAGTTTTTCAGCACAAATGACGGATGCGACAGCACCAGCCAAAACTTTAGTCTTGTATTTTTACCTTGCTGATTCCAAGCTCACAAATATATTTCCAGACTTCATGGGATGATGCAAAAGAACTGTTTCTTTGGATCATAGGGTTTTGCTTACTGTCCCTCGCTGCTTCTGCCTGTTAAATTTGAGGGGAAAAAGTAAGTCTTCTTTTACACTGAACAGCGATGTTAATGGTCTACAATCCACTTTGAATAAAATTTTCTTCTTTAAAAAAAAAACAAAAAACTTAGGAGACAAATAAACAGTGGTACACAGCAGTGTGCATTACAAATCTGCATTAAGCTCCGCTGAATTTCGAAGTCCATAGTACGTAGAAAACAAAATAAATCATTGGGGTTGTGAGAAAAAAAAACCAGGAGAGCCCAGTCACATGACCTGTTAAAGTCACATGACCGACTGTACACCCATTACAGCATTCTCCAAATTTGACTGCAAAAGTGGAAAAAAACCAAAAGCAGAAGAAACTCCTTGGGGCAACACAGGCTACCCACCGTGGCCCATATTTTATAAATGTACGATATACACTCTTGGTTAAAAATTAGCCCCTTAGTATAAGTTACTGAAAAAAATTACACATCAGGAAAATATTAGAAAGGATGACCTAATATTTAAATAAAGGGGGCATACTGAAGACATATGTACATATGTTGCGTTAGACTTACCGGTAACGGTATTTCTAGGAATCTTCCAGGACAGCAACCTGAGATGATTGGTTCCACCTTCTACAGGAAACACAATTAGCAAAACAGTTAAAAGCCCCTCCCCTTCCCCTCGTACCTCAGTTATGATTTTCTGTAAAGGGATCCCCTGCAAGAAAATTGGCAGCTGTCATTTTGGTGACAAGGTCCAAACTGAGTGGACATCTCCCCAAAATAAGGACAAATGCAACCTTTAACGGGTGTCCTCATTTGAAGATCTTCCATATATCTTCGTTATTGTGACAATTGTCAAATTTCAGCTTTCCTCTCTTTTTTTCTATCCTAGTGGCAGCGGTTACCATGACAGACAGTCAGGGCAGATCTCACCAATGAGGACACAGCAATACAAACCATAAATAGAAATAAATAATAATGGCTGCATTTGTGCTTTAAAGTTGAACTCCAGCCAATCTTTTTTTTCTTTTGAAAGGGTAAATACTTCTGTAAAGTTTTAATTGGGAAAAGAAATGAGGGGGATGGTTCTCACTGAGACAGGAAACCACAGACAGGAGTAATACCCTGACGCAGGTTCTAACCATTCCCCATTAACTGAAAAAAAAGTGATTTCTTGCAGCCCCACTAGAGAGATCTTATCATTTCCTGTCCCTACAACAAGTAAGGGGAAATCTCCCCACTGGGTACGCAGATTAAAACCTGACTGAGATTCTAACACTTCCCCACTCTGCCCAAAGCCAACAAAGGTTTAGCTAGACTTCAGTTTCAACCCTTGTATACCTAGGGAAAATTATACTCTTTGAGCAACCAAATATTCCAAACAAATACAGTTGTATAGCATTGTAAACACAAAGTCATAGTAGTCCAAAGATAAGATTCAAATTGAATTACCTTGGTTTGTAAGAATTTAAAACATTGTTGGTTTAATACTTCTACAAATTCAGACTCAAAGTCCTGGTCACTATACCATGCTCCTCCCGTCACAGAGCGGTCCGGCTGGACATTATACAGCATGTAAACTTTCTTTTTGGAAGCCTGATATGAAAAAAAAAAAAAGAAGAAGAACAGAGCACACAAGCTTGTTTTTTTGTTTACAATTAAAGCAAACCTATATATACACCGTATTTTGCGCTCCATAAGGCACACCTGACCATAGGACGCAGGGAGGGTAGGGTTCTGTGACAGCTGTAGTTAGTGACAGCTGAGACAGGTGGCGGCGTGAACGGACGTTCTTCGTCTGCTCTATGGTGAGCTCCTATGCCGTGGTCACGGGTCCCCCAGAGGAGCGGACAGGATCGCTGCTGCTCCTTTCATACAAGTGATCTAATCAGATCATTTGTATGAAAACGAGAGGCGGTTCCACACTATACATTTAGCTCTGCTTGTCAGGAGCAGGGCTAAATGTACAAAAACACTACTCGCCCGGCGCCCGAAACTGCATGTCCCGGGTGTCGGGCAATAGGGATTTCCTCAGCTCACACATTCGCTCCATAAAAAGAAAAAAAAATGAACAAACAAAATGTATGTACGGGGATCGCTGTAGGTGCCCCTGCACAGCTTCAGCATATTTCCTAAAGGCTTGCTGACAAATGCAAACCTCTGCTTACAAGCTGTGGGGAAATATAGCAATAGCTCATAAAAGGGAAAGTCCTGAAAAAGAATTTGTGACTTGTGGTCAGACATATTACCTCTAATGATGCTGATCCCAGGTCCGGGTTACTGCTGTGTAGAGTAAAAATCATACTTTTCAGAATATAAGACATTTTGTGAATGAATAAGGGGATCAGAGGGGGGGATAAACAGTATGGCTTCTGTGTATCGGAGCTGCAGCTCTCATAGCCACAGCGCTCGAAGTACAACACCGGCTGATGATTTTTACTCTACACAACACCGATATGGACCTGGAATAAACATCATCAGAGGTAACTTTTTTCTTGGAGCTCCCCGTTAATTTACTTCCTAAAAAAGCTGTGACATAAGACATTATTAAATGCAAAGAAGCTTCTGAAGTGTAAGCCAGCATAGAAAGATCCGGTTGAATATCAGTTAAAGTGTATGTAACCGTTTTCAATGTCCAACTTTCTTGTTGTCGACTTTTGCTTTGTACTGAAAATATTCATCAATAAAACACCTTATAAACTGTATGTAATAGTTATTGCACATAATATACAATGAAATGGGAAAATAAAACCAAGCATACAAAACACCCCCTTTACATAAGCATACCTTTATTGCCAGCATCCTCGATAATCTGATACACTAACTTTTCCTGATTGTCAGATCCCTTCATTTTGCTACAAATAAAGAATAGAAGAGTGAGTCTCCTTAAAGTCACTGAGGGGGATTTATCGAAACTGGAGCAGACAGAATCTGGAGCAGCTGTGCATGGCAACCAATCAGCTTCTCTCTTTCATTTTCAAATCTTAAATGAACAAATTGAAGTGAGAAGGTGATTGGTTGCAATGGGCAACTGCTCCAGTTTCGATAAATTCCCCTAATGAAAAGCCCCAGCATAAATCTGTCCAGGCAGTGACAACATATTTAGAGAAAGGCTTCTTTCTACCAATACTAATCACACAGGTGCTTTGCTTTTAAACTTGTGGACAGTTCAGAAATTTGAATGCCTGGCGATTATAGCTCACCCAGCGGTCTGTGCGTCTTTCAGTCTGTACAAAAGGCCTGCTGCACCTCTAAGAAGATCTAGCTGACCCTAATAGTTGAAAAAAATAGAAACAGTTTAGTATAAATGAATGCAACAAAGGCAAACAAATACATTTCAATAAAGAATCAACTTTATAAACCCACACCTTCTTCACATCAAAACTTAAAAGAGGAAGTTACCCATATCTTCAAATTAACAACAAAGGTGCCTATAGAAATGTGTAGTAATCACAATCGACAAACAGATACTTCTAAGTATTTGCAGGCTTTTTATTTGTTGCATACCTTTCTTTTTCTCCCCATTCTTCTGAAAGTGGCCATTTTTACTAAGGGCAGATTTATCCATCACCCTTTACTTCCTGGAACTCTGGCACATGCGACTAGGACATGTAAGCATGCACATCATCTCATGGGAGGAAAATGCCTTTCACTGAGAGCTCAGGAGATTACAGATGAGATTTCCCAGCAATGCTCTGCTGATGTAACCTTCCCAGAATGCAATGCTTGGGCACAATTACATCATTTGTGGCACAGTGGAAAAAAAAGAAATTGTAAGAAAAATAAAAAAATATGTTTGTTTAGCTAATGAAAGATAATTTCATATCGGCATGCAGAGCTGTATACTGATATGATTTTTAGTCATGCATGTGTCTGCACTACCCCAGAAGGGGAGGAGGACAGGGCAAAAATGCCTGGGGTCCTCAGGAGTCGATCCCCTGTAACAGGAGGAAGCCAAGGTGCTGGAAGCGTGTGCAGGGCCGGCCTTAGGGGTGTGCGAGCAGTGCGGCCGCACAGGGCGTCATGGCAACAAGGGCGCCGTGCGGCCAACAAAGCTCGTGTTGGGGGCAACTTCTCTCCCCCTCACCACTGGGCGCTGGCCATCCGATATGACAGCGCTCCCTCGTCCACAGGAGGGAGCGCTGCCTGCTGTCAGGATGGCGGAGCGGTGAGGGGGAGAGAAGCCGTGCCCGCAGCTGTCAGGATGGCCGAAGACACCGTTACCAGTAAATGAATACACTATGCAAGAGGGGGTGAAGTACTACAACCTTTTCACAACATGGTATGGACACCGTCATCCATTAAAAGACCTTCAGCAGCTTTTACAGATTTGTAGCCAATTCCAGGAATCGAGCACAGGACCCAGTGTCCATAGAACTGTCCTCCTACGTACGCCCTCAGAATTTAAAAAAAACACCATAGGAATGCATAGCTAGATTCCTATTGGCTATTTCACTTTGCAATAGCCAATAGCAAACCAGTTATTGCACCCACCCACCCACTGCTGCTGTCAATCACTAGAAGCGGATCTGATGGAGAACTTCAGGTCCCTCTCTGCTGATTGACAGCAGCAGTGGGTGGGTGGGTGCAATAACTGGTTTGCTATTGGCTATTGCAAAGTGAAATAGCCAATAGGAATCTAGCTATGCATTCCTATGGTGGGTTTTTTTTTTCTGACTTACGGCGGAACCCGATGTCAGAAAAAAACAAAACACGATCGCAGGGAAAGGTTTACTCTGATTGATCGAGCAGAGTAAACCTTTCTGGGAGAAAGTGTTTCTCTCCCGGGCAGCCGGGAGCCGCTATCTAATAGCGGGAGACTCACGGGGGACCCCTGGCAAATCGTCATTCGACCCCTGACGGGATTGCGACCCACAGATTGAGAACCGCTGATCTACTGCATATGTGGGCCAAACCGGCCAGACTATTCATTCAAAAACACCTTTAACTATTGCTTACTAAGAAAAGAAACACCCCAGACAAATATTTGCCGAGATTTCTCTTGGACAGTAATCCTAAGCCCTGATAAATGTGGATTTGCATGTAACCACTGAAAGGCTTTGGATTTCAACTCCTGATAGACTCTCTTTCTGTAATAGTTAAGATTACATCTGGGCCAACCTATATGGCTTGGGGCTCTCATCCTTTAACTCTACATAAGGTGACATTCCCAGGGACCCTGTTAGAGTTCAATTGGGCATTAAAGAACTGCTACAAGATAACAACCATCTCTTTGGAACATCCACTAAGCTTGAAGTCCAGCACTCCATTCACCATTCGCAATCAATGCCATTGCAATACACTAATGCCTTGGTTCTCAACTGGTGGGTCGTGACCCAAAAGTGGGTCGCGACTCCATGTTCAGTGGATCGCCACATGCCTTCCTCTTTTCTAAGTGAGAGGCTCCTCAGCCGCCTCCTTTTGCAGCACTGTCAGTTCGTGCGCGCCAAACTGCCAATTAAAATATGCTGCCCAGTGCAGAGCGTCAGCTTGAAGTGGGATGGACTGGGGCTATCGCCGCGAGGGAGCTGCATCCATACGTACAGCTCCCTCATGTGGCCTGTTGAGGTGCCTGGACCAGAGTAATGTCACATTCTGGCTCCCCACACCTCTATAGGACATGCAAAGGGAGCTGTACAAGCATTGCACATATGGATGAAGCTCGGTCACAGCACAGCAGCCCACAAAGGACCCCAGGCTGAGCATCAACTCCAATTCTTGTAAGGTATGGAGACTGGGTGGATCTTTTGAATGGCACCCCAAACGCACCTCCCACCCACAGTTTGATCGCCCGAAACGCGTGGTACCGCAATGTTGTGCATTCCTTTGCAGTGCCAAGGACAAATGTGGGTCCTGAGGTTACACAGGTTGAGAACCACTGCACTAATGTGTACATGCTACGCTGCTGCATGTTGCAGGTGCACATTTTGCTATGCCTCACTGCAATGCAGCAGTGTGAACTTGCCTTTAGTGTACCTTTAATAGCATCTTATAGTATCCTCATCTCCCATCCCCTACAACTTACCACTGACAGCAAGCGGTTGATTGCCATCGCTCTCTGCTTTGGTTCAATATGTGGCATCTCATTCTGGATAACTTGGTCTGTAATGCCATGAGGAAACTGCTGACAAAGCTCTATAATCCTTAAATCCAAAAAGAAAAAAAGAAAACATTAAAGTATGGGCCTCAGCCAGAGATTTCAGATTGAGGATTGAATGAAATACAAGATTTGAGAAATTAACCATACAGATGTTATATTTTATCTTTTCTAGAAAAATATGATTACTACACCACAATTTGTATTTACAGGTAAAAGTAAAACATTCAGTGGAGATGAACCCAGATGGGGTTATACATGATTATATATAATACTTCAGGGAAAGGAAGCTGCATAAGACTGAGTAATCTTACAGAATACAGGAAAACATTTCTGTTGATTAGAAAAAAAAAAGAGATTGCAAAATATAAAATGGGCCACTGTGCAAATATCCCAAAGTGGAAAGAAAGACAATTATTATTCTGATGCCATATTTGTGCTCAACAGTAAGTTGTTCGACTGGCCAATATGGATTGTGCATTGTTATGGATGACCCAGGAACTACAATATAGTTGTATATCCCCAAGAGACAGAAGAAATTGTCAGGGGGTTTAACTTTCCTGCGTATACCAAAAGCTAAAATATTAGTTATGGGTAGACTTGCAAAACTAAACCATGTATAATCTATGAGTTGCCAGTCACAGCTTAATTATGCAGTTCCTGTGCAACATTATTCACTGGCCCAGCTTTGTCACACGGACCCATACGTACCAGGGCATTCCTTGTGTGACAGTACTTACTGGCCCAGATTTTGTCAGATAGACCCATACCCAGTACCAGGGCATTCCCTTGGTGACAGTACTTACTGGCCCAGTTTTGTCACAGGGACCCTTACTCATAAGTACAAAGGCATTCCTTGTGTGACAATACATACTGGCCCAGCTGTGTCACATGGACCCATCCCCATAAGTACCAAGGTATTCCCTGTGTGACAGTACTTACTGGCCCAGTTTTGTCACATGGCCCCATCCCCATAAGTACCAAGGTATTCCCTGTGTGACAGTACTTCCCGTCCCACCTTTGTCACATGGCCCCACACCCATAAGTACCAGGGCATTCCTTTTGTGACAGTACTTACCAGCCCACTTTTGTCACATGGCCTCACACCCATAAGTACCAGAGTATTCCTTGTGTGACAGTACTTACCGGCCCACCTTTGTCACATGGCCTCACACCCATAAGTACCAGAGTATTCCTTGTGTGACAGTACTTACCGGCCCACCTTTGTCACATGGCCTCACACCCATAAGTACCAGAGTATTCCTTGTGTGACAGTACTTACCGGCCCACCTTTGTCACATGGCCTCACACCCATAAGTACCAGAGTATTCCTTGTGTGACAGTACTTGCCGGCCCAGTTTTGTCACTTGGACCCATACCCTTAAGTACCAGAGTATTCCTTGTGTGACAGTACTTGCCGGCCCAGTTTTGTCACATGGACCCATACCCATAAGTACCAGAGTATTCCTTGTGTGACAGTACTTGCCGGCCCAGTTTTGTCACATGGACCCGTACCCATAAGTACAAGGAAAATGTCTTCGGCTCCCAGCACTAAACAGAGCAGCTAGGGAGAGAAGAAAAGGCAAGTACACACTGAGGAGATGCATTAAAGCAAACCTGTTGCTTTTCCCTGAATGGTCCAGGTTTCCTTTAAGGCCTTATTCACACTAAATGCATGTGAAAGCTGCACATAAAATACAATAAGATCTGTACTATTGCCATCAATGGGGCTGTACTCATCTACACATTTTCCAACACTCTGGAGTATTCACAAAGTCTGTCAATTTTAATTTCTAAAAACAGTTCAGTATGAGAAAAATGTCAGTATGTGTGACAAATTCACATACCGTACATGTCATGACTGTGTATGTGAATGTGTCAGTATCAACACAAAGACCTGCTCTTGACTGGTCTAATTTACCCTCCATGTCACTGAATGTTTATGAATTTGGTTCAACGATACCGCTACACTTAGACGCATTATAATAAGAACTATGTAAATTTGCACAGAAGTCGGTCATTTTTAGAGAAATTTGGCATCCGCATTAAAATACCTGCAATACCGACAGAAAGCAAGTTTTATTGTCTTTGTGAATTCCCTTGAATGTCATTTCTGCAAGAAGAATTTTGCTGCAAGTGACAGAGTTAAAGGGAACAGCATGATAAAAAAATAGAGGAGGTACTCATTCACTTTCCGAAAGCAGAGCCCACAACAAATGAATAGTCATATAGTCCATACCTCCCAAGCTTTGGAACTTGAGAATGGTGGACACAGTGGGAAAGGTGATGTGCGGTGTGCATAGCACACTGTAGAAAAAAAAAGTGGGCTTGGCTATGCTGTGCTTGAATACTGGTCAGTGGCATTTTTAAAATGTTCCCGTTAATCACTAGCGGTCAGCAGCCTTTTAGAAAACTCACCTAAACCATTGGAGGTCAATGGTTTTGAGGAATGCTTCCACAAAATTTAGACCAGGGGTAGCAGCTGTGGTGAAACTACAAATCCCATGATGCATCTCTCTGCAGGAGTCATGTCTGTGGCTGTGAGAATCTTGCAATGCCTCATGGGATTTGTAGTTTCACCACAGCTGGAGGTTTGCTACCCCTGCTTTAGACCTTTATTCTGCGTTGCTGTCTGTGTGGTGATGTCACTGCTGGAACTCTGCTTATGTTATAAGGCATATGATCACTCCACCCAGCAATAAATCCATAGACCAGACCCGGAATAAAAGGTCCAGGACATGGCCTGGATCCACAGGAAACCAGGTTTATGGTTTGATCTTGAGATAGTCCCACTGAATCTGGGACGTTTGGGAGGTATGTGACTTCCATTAACAAGAGGTGATCTGCCGCTGCTCTGTCAGGCTACAAAAATACGCTTGTCCTGGAGGGTCCAAAACAAGTAGAATCCAGGGAACATGAACACACGTAGCCCTAATCTGCAGTGCTCAGCTACTACCCAAAACATGGCAAACACCAGTATGGCTGTTATGTATTCTGTCCAATTTAATCACCCTAATAAGTGTCAAAATGTCTATCTCTGAACACTCATATTTACCAGTTTTGGGGCCTGTGTTGACAGGCTTGTGTTCACTTCTAGGGGGGTTTGGCATTCCTATACAAGTCTATTGAAATTCAACATCTGCTAGAAGTCAAATGCAGGTCAACTACAGATAAAATGAATTATTAATGATCTCAAGTCAAATGATCTCTGATGTCAAACTGATGCCATCGACAAACCCACAGCCTGTCCACGCAGACCCTTGGAGGGGGTTAAATTCCCATTTTTTCCTCGGGGTAGAGGAATACGCTGTGATACTTACCTTATTCTTTGCTTGAGCAGGATTCACAACTCTCTTTTCTCCCTGACGCTCCAAGATGTGGGTGGTCCCTCACCGTCCTCACTATTGGCCCAGCATTGTATTGGATGCTGTCAGCAGTGTGAGACCACCGGTTGGGAGAACCTTAGAGAAGAGGTTTTCGGCAATGCATTGTGGTGGTGGTGTGCACTATAAAAAAGTGCTGCATGTAGTAGTTTTGTTCAGCACAGTGTGATGTCACTGCAGGGCAACGCGCTGTCAATAGAACTTTATGAAATGTCATTCATCATGTTTCAATAAAGTTCTAGCCAAGAAAGTAAACAATGTAATAGATTTGGATCTGCGCATCAGCACTGCACCTTTCTGCGCACACCAGCAGGCATGCTATGTTGTGGCTTGCTGGTGATAACGCACTCTTATTATGACCCTTTTAAAGGACAAATGCAATAATTTAGAGGTTGAATTAAAGTTTTAGTGTAGTATATATAACATGTGTGATAATTATAGAGTACTTCTTATATTGAGATATATACACATTGGACCAAAAAGAAGTACGTGTGAGCAGGAAAGAGGGACAGAGGGATTTGTTTTTTAATGAGGTACAATTGGGAGGATGACAGTCATCAGAAATCCAGCATGGACGGAAGAGAGGTGGGCCAGGACAGTAACATGGATGGCAGCACCTTACCTGTTCTCTGTTTCAGTAGCTTCCCCACTCTCTTGCTTTACCTTCACGTCCGCCATCTCCTAACACGTCTCTCCTACCCTGCACGGTTCACTGTTCTCTACACACTCCATGCACTCCACCGAGCCTGACTCAACTGCGCCTGCGTCTCACTGCCCTGACATCCCGGCAGACATCTTGTGTAAGGGCAAAAGTCGACAATTTCTTTAAAAACACAGGATCTAATAAACAGAAAACTAATAATGGGTTTGTGTCATATAAGTAATGTTTTGCACATAACAGACACATCCAATTTTGTTTTTCAGGCTATGCGTACATATTTTGCCCTTAGCAAACATGGCCGCTGCGCTCAGGCTCTTCCGTGTTCGGTCATTCTGTTCTGCACGTTGTAAGCTGATTGGCCGGGAGAGATGTGGGCGGGGATTGAGCTCGCATCTTTGGTTGCTAGGCAATAGGAGGTTGCCAATCAAGGTTCTGGTTGCTGTGAAGGTGACGGTCCCACCGGGGAGAGCGTCTGTAGAAACGGTATCTGGGAGTTACAGGAGATCTGCTGAACGTTGAGGTTCCTGTGGAAGCTGTGCGACATTCCATCCAGGTATATGAAGGGGTAGACCACCTGTATATTATGATGGAAGTCATGGAGTGTGTATGGCTGTAATAGGCACACTGTGCATAGACGATCAGCTGTGATAAGAGGCAGGGAGGAGGCAGTATACGATCAGGGGTTTGTATCATCTACCTGGCTGTGCATTGTGCTTACCTCTGCCCCTTGCAGCACCTGGGTCTTCATCCAGATTCCAGCAGGAACACATCTGTATGTGACTCCTTCGCTCAGCCTTCCTCTAATTCTCTCCAACAATCTTTATTGGTGTTTATATACAATTTCCGGGGAGACTTTTTGTGTGAATGTGCACGGGGATTAGATTGCATGAGGTTTGCGTGTGATAAACTTTACAGTTTAAAGCTCTTTACAATTTTTCAGCATTATATAAAGCGACATAAAACCGTGAATGATTAAAGCTGAAGTCCAGGCAAAAAGCTTTTATTTAAATATATTCCTCAATAGCCACAAAGGATATAAATGCACGTTGTGCGTATTAAATGCCTCTGCAAACCCAGTTATTACTTTGGAAAAGTAGTAGTGACATCATCACTGTGTTGTACATAAGCTGTGCAAAGAGCAGAGCTCTGGGAGGCACCCAGCAGGCTCCACCCACTACAGGCTCCCTGCAGAAAACTACAGGAAGGGGCGGATACAAGACCAGTAACCCTGCACAAGGAGAGAGAGCAGCAGTGACCGGTCTATATTACAGGAAGCTCCTGTGCAGAGGTAAATTGTAACACTGGATACATGCACAGATCTCTGCTGATCAGGACAGAATGAAACAGATGTCACTCTTGTGACCATCGTGTCTGTTTAGTTTTTCCTCCTCTTCCAATGAAAAAAACTGAGCTGTTAGGTCTATGGAGAGTCTGATGTAAGAGGCATGTGTCTTTATACATTAGTTTATCTCTGATCCATCTCAATCAAGTCTGCCAAAACAGAACTCTGTTCCATTTTGTTTTCCGGGACTGTCCATAGAGTTACATTGAGCTTCTGATCAGATCTGCCTGAAAAGCTGACAGGTGGATCTGATTGGACTGGCCACATGAAAGGGGCCTTAGGCTAGCCAGCCTTCTTGGAACAGAGAGGGGGCAGCACAAGACAGTTGGCATAGAGGGACAGTGAGTACAGTATAAATCTGGCCCTGAGTCCAAATCATCTTTTACTTTGGAATAGAGCATAGAAAAGTTAGATCCTCTGTTAGGTTTTTATTGCTGTATAGGTCCTTGTTGATTTCTTTGCACTTCGTATGTGATCTCCAAAACAGGAAGCAACAATATTCTCTCCAGTGTGGAGACAGGAATCAATAGCAAACAGCAATACAAACACTGTATAGAATTCGGGGGGAACAGTTAACCCACTGCACAAGTGTAAACCCGGCATTCGGCCAGCCATCTTGGATCAGAAGGGGGCAACACAAGACAGTTAGCCTAAATCAAGGGTAGGCAAACTCTGGCCCTCCGGCTGTGGTGAAAGTACAAATCCCATGAAGCTTATGTCTCCGTAGTCATGGAGCTGTGAGGATCTTGTGATGCCTCATGGGAGTTGTAGTTCCACAACAGCTGTAGGGCCGGAGTTTGCCCACCCCTGATCGAGGGACAGTAAGTATAGTATAAATCTGACCCTGAACTCAAATCATCTTTTAGTTTGGAATACAGCAAAGGTTAGATCCTCTGTCAGATGTTCATTGCTATATACTGTATGTCCCCGTTACAAGGAATGAGATGGGGACACAGCCGGCAATAAAACCCTAACAGAGGCTTTAACCCTTCCCATGCTTTAAAATGTCCTTTAGGAAAGTAAAAGGGTTCATACAATAGCAGCATGTGCAGTATACAGTACACAAGATTCACAATACATTTCTTGTTTATTTTAGCCTTTGGGAAGCAATATATACTGTATGTTGCTTGGCTGCATTAAGCTAATCGCTTTTCAGAGAGCCAATGCTAACACAATGGATGATGCTCCAATCCTTACATGTCTATAAAAAAAATATCAGGGCGATTTTCATGGGTGTGGCGGAGTGCAAACATTCCCATTAATCTCTGAATGTCTTCTCTGTGCACATAATACTCTGTGTACACATCTTTAATATTTTATCCAGAGAAGACCAGAAGATTAAAATGAATGTATGGCAGAAGAACAGCTGGCACAAATGACTTTCAGTATGCCCAACGTAGAACTGAAGCCGAGTAAATCCAAAACTTTATTTTTTAGCAGCCATGAGTGGGGTTCCCTCATAACTGCTAGACCGGTGCCCACAGTCTCTTCTCTCTTATGTTCTGGTGGTCTAAGGCCCTTTGGCATGATCATGTCTTATACAGATCCAGAGGTGAGTGCTGACCATTGCAGGACCGAGGATCAGGTAGTAAAACAGTCTCCTAGGCAAAATGAGCGCTTAACCCTTGCAGTGTCAGGGCAACCCCACTGGAAGCGTACGTTTTTAAATTTGCACAAAGTTCTTCTTTAATGTACCTGCACCCATTGCCCTTGTCGTGTATTATTGCTGACCTCTGTCATTTGTAACATGTGTGCTGAAATTGTTCTCTCCCCCGGCATAGAAAGGATGACCGCTGGATCCATCTGTGTACCGCAGATTATACCCCTTCGTGTTCCTCTTCCTGGTAAAGGGAAATATGAAGTAGACACCAACACACCGATTGAAATAAAATCAGGTACAGCAGAGAAAAGCTACCTTCATATTCATGTGAAAGATGATCATTGCCACTTGAAACATGCAAAAAATACATTGCCAAATACATTTTAGCTTGGTAAAGTGATCCCAACTTGACCTGAAAAGTATTTCATCCGTGTCTAAAGCAAACATGTTTTCTTATTTTGAATGAAGTGGTGAATTGTTAGATCCCCGTCAGGTTTTTATGGAGGTCTGAGTCCCCATTTTTTTTTTTCCCGGTGACCACTGTCGCAAGTGAGGGGAAAGTCCAAATTTTGTATTGTCACCAGAACAGCAATAGAGGGGACATTTTACAGTGGGGACCCTTGTTCCCCTGATACCTGTCTTGGGGGGGATTTTTTTCCTTATGTTGGGGAGATTTCCTCTCACTTCATCTTGTGACTACAAGACAGAAAATGAAAGTAAATCTCCCCATTGGGACAAAGTAAAAAAACAAAACATCTTGACACAAATTTTAACTACTCCCAACTCTGTTCACAATGAAAAGGTTTTGACTTGGATACACTTTAGAACAATAACAGTACCTATTTGACCTAAAGATCTGGCCCTGGATTTTTCTAGACTAGAGCCTCTTGGATAATAGGTCCTGGCTGTACAAAGAGCCTGGCTGCAAATCAGAGGCTGTTCTCAGTAGGGCACCTGTCCATCTATAGATGTCCATCATCTGAAATTAATTCAATTTAAAGTATAAGTGCCCCCCTCCCTAAGTTGTTTGTTGATATCCTACTGCAGACATCTGCTTCTATGGAGCTCATCTTCCAGCCTGACTGGGAGACAGAGGTAGACAAGCCCCATAGAAGTCAATGGGGATTGACTTCCACCACAGGGTATCAACAAACAGCAGAGGCTGGGCCTGTAGGAACTCTGTAAGCATTCAACTGTGCACGGGAAGGGAGCTGTGATGTCAGCTTAAAGGGGCCTAAAGGATAATTGCACTTTGTTTTAAAGGTATGGTTATTGAAATGACATATCACCATATATGATGATATATGACCTCCATTTGCAGATTCCCCAGATGTGTCCATATTTTATACACTGGATGGAAGCAAGCCAGATTTATTTAAAAAGGTTGGGCACACAGAAAACACCACTTTAAAGTATCGAGGTCCGTTTACATTGCCTGATGGTAAAATCACTGTTAAGGCTGTGGCTGTAAGTAGGTAAGTAAGCATTGTTATTGTTATAATAAAGACATATAGGATCACTAGTTCCCTGTACTGGTTCGGTACATGCATCTTTAGCTGCATGTTCTGATTTTTTTTTTTTAAATGAGATTCTACTTTAGATTAACATAGCAGTAAACATGTGTAAACCGGGATAACCCACAACAACCAGTCAGATTCCACAGAACAAGTTTCATCCAAAAACAGTATTAGTTTGTATACTGTGTATTGGTTATTTGTACCGATATTTTCTTTTGTCATTCATTTTATCTATAGAGACAACAGAGAAAGTGGCATTGTGACAAAAGTGTTCAGTGTGGAGTATGTTCCCCCAGAGATAGACTCCTCAGATGAAGACAATGATGAAAACTTCCTGAAAGAGCTCTCCAAAAAGGTAGGACAGAAAGTATGACGCTTGCTTCTTGTTGGATGTAGCAAATGAAGTGATGATAACTGATGACAGTGACCATGGCGTATAAGGTTTGATATGCTGCCCCTCCCTCCCCCCCCATGGTCATTGTTCTTAATGCCAACAGATTAGGATGAAGCACGTGAAAACAAATGTATTGTGCTGCAAAACCCTTTAGATCACTCAATGACTACACAGCAGCTAGAAGATAATATTCACATTCTGGTACCTGCTGCTTTTCCACAGAATAAGTAACTAGGACAACTTGATTCAATTCTTATTGAGACTTGTGCTTGTACTCGTATCATGCATACAAGGTCTTGTGACTTTTACTACCATTCAGGTGGTCAGACTAACCTTGCATGTCACAAACCTTGTGGTCCTGCCACATCTCCTGCTCACCTATGCTCTTGTACAGCAGTGGGGAAGGTCTTTCCCCCACTTATATAACCACTGTCCATTGGTCATAGCTAATACTTTTCATCAGGATGCAATACCGAATTCAGGGGAGGCAGGGGTTAGTTGATGCTTGAGAACCTCATCTCTTCCACCACTGGGATAATCCTATTTAAGATGAGATTCCCATAGGAGAAGCATCATATGCTATGAGGGAGCACCAGTGGCTACAGAGAACACAGGTAATGTGCACTGGTCATAGTTAATGCTTTCCATCAGAATATATAAAGAATTTAGAGGAGGTAGGTGTTAGTTGGTGAAGGAGAACCTTATCTCTTTCACCATTGTGGTAATCCCATTTTATATAAGATTCCCAAGGGGGAAGCATCCTATGCTATAATGGAGCACCAATGGGAGCAGATAACACAGTCACTGTCCACCGGTCATAGCTACTGCATTTCATTAGGATATATTAAGGCAGGAATTACTTGCTGCATGAGAACCTCATCCCCTCCACTACTGTGATAAACCCATTTAAGATGAGGTTCCATGGGAGAAGAATCCATTGATAAGATGGAACACCAATGGGTGCAGTGAACACAGTCACTGTTCATAGTTAAGGCTTTTCCTCAGGATACATAAAGAATTCAGAGGAGGCAGATGTTAGATGGTGCATGGAAACCTCATCATTGCCACTACTTATAATCCCATTTAGGATGGGATTCCCATGAGAGAAGCATACTATGATATGATGGAGCACCAATGGGTTCAGAGAACACAGTCACTGGTCCACAGGTATTAGTTGGTGCATGAGAACCTCATCTCCTCCACTACTGTGATAAACCCATTTAAGATGAGTTTCCATGGGAGAAGCATCCATTGCTATGGTGGAGCGCCAGTGGGTTCGGGGAACACAGTCATTGTTCCCTGTTCATAGCTAAGGTTTTTTTCTCAGGATACATAAATAATTCAGAGGAGGTAGGTGTTAGTTGGTGCTTGAGAACCTCTGCTCTTCCACACTGTGAGAATACTATTTAAGATGAGATCCTCATGGGAAAAGCATCCTATGCTATGATGAAACATCTGTTGCAAACATCTCTTTGTTTAGAACACTGCCAATATTTCCTCCACTTTGAAGACTAAAAAGAAAGATGGCATGTCACAAAGAACTTCAGCCTGGAATGAAGCAGCACAAAGTTATAGAGGTAAGTTTTATACTTTTGGTTGTTCATTGCTGGCTTGAGCACAGCCCAGTGGCGTAGTGGGCAGCACAGTGGCGTAGTGGGCAGCACTTCTGCCTTGCAGAAGTTCAAAACCTGGCTAGGTCACTATCTGCAAGGAGTTTGCATGTGTGGGTTTGTGGCGGGTACTCTGATTTCCTCCCACACTCCAAAGACATCTAATTTGGCCCTGTATGTACAGTATGCCTGTGGGATAGGGTATATACTCTACCTTTGCATGTGGGATAGACCTTAGATTGTAAGCTGCTTGAGGGCAGGGACTTATTTGAATGTGCAATTATGTAGAGTGCTGTGTAAATTGTCAGCACTATATAAATACCTGTAATAGATAAATAAATAATATATAAAGTGCATGAAAGAATAACCACCATCCATGCTAATTACAGCAATCTAATGCCTTCTCCTTTCCATTGTCTAACCTGTGCTGGGGACAATACAGGACAGTCTTCCTTATATAGTAAGAAGGCGTACACATTCCTGTAGATGGAACTGTAACATGCTGATATAAACATCAAAAGCCACTTGATGTAACAATATACCAATTTAAAATGAAGGGAGCTAACATCCGGAGTCTCAGGGTTAAAGGTAGAGTACATACTCTCCTGTTATAACATCAGCATTATAATAGGAATACATACTAGGGTTGTTTTTCATAATGCAATCACCGCTTACTTGAAAAAATCCCTTTTATGCAGTGAGTGTTGCCTTCTGTCTGCCCATCACTTTCCTCAACTTTCAGGAATCCCAGTGTGCTTTGCATCCATTTACCTGCTGCTTGATCCGATGCATTCTCTATTTCTCAAGACTACATAGCCCATCATGCATTGCTTCCAGCAAACAATGATGATGTTACATTGTTAAGACATTGAGTTGTATATCAGAAGACAGGCTCTGTGAGAGTTTTGACACAAGAAAGTGCATAATTACAGGGCTAAATAAAAATGGTGTCAGTGCATTGAGGAAGTACATCCTATGGACCTCTTCAATAAGTACGTTTACTTCTAGATCAATATGGTTATTAGGAGTGGGATAGATCTTATGGAAATGCATTATAGAAATACATATTGATTTTTAGTTTTTGACCATAGATACCCTTTAAAATACAAAAAAATTCAAAAAAAAAACCCCCAACATATAAGAGCACTGGGCCACTTTGAGAAGCTGATTTAAAGAGAAGCAAAAAGGGCTAGCCTGGAGGGAGAGGCACCAGGTAAAAAGAAGGTGACAATCTTCATCTGTTGATTTTTGTAGTAAAAGGTCTTAAAAGGAAAATGGAGGAATCAGTTGTCTTTTTTGTTGTGTTTTAGATATACAGCTATGTTTTAGTATATATTTTTTCTTATTACAAGAACCAGGCTTTGCTTTCTGCTGACCTTCCTATTATTTATTTTCGCTATTCATACAGCCCCAAAATGTACGCAGCACTTTACATTTTGTACTATCATATCAGTTCCTGCCCTCAAGAAGCTTACAATCTAAGGTATCCATCTCACAGGCATACATACACATACTGGGGCCAATTTAGAAAGCAGCCAATCAACCTACCAGCATGTCTTTGGAGTGTGGGAGGAAACTCATGCGAGCACAGGAGCACATGCAAACTCCATGCAGGTAGTGTCCTGGCTGGGACTCAAACCAAGGATTCCAGTGCTGCACGGCAGGTGTTCTAACCAATAAGCCACTGTGCTGCATATCAGTAAGGTCTCTTCATCTGCAAAATTGGACATCCACAATGTACCTTATAGTCAGAGTCCGTGTCATATTTTCATAGGTTAAAGGTTACATTATGGAGCTGAGATCATCATTCATGTAAAGTGTGAATTTGAGTCTACTTTAAGCCAGGGGTGTTCAACTTCGGCCCTCCAGCTGTTGTGGAACTACAAGTCCCATGAGGCATTGCAAGCCTGACAGTTACAGGCATGACTCATGAGGCAGAGGCTTGTTGGGATTTGTAGTTAAAGCACAGCTGGAGGGCTGGGGTTACCCACCCCTTCCTTTTGAACATTTAAAATTCACTAAAAAGCAAATCATAATTATCCTTTATCATCCTTTTCTCCTTCAGTATCTATATTTCTACTACAAAGCAGCGTGGAAGCTTGTCAGCAATCAGAACGTTTTATTTGTATTCCTTTGTTGTGTTTTCAGATCTTGATCCAGATGGGAGAATCAGCCACAGGTCTGTAACTGGCCCAAGATTTCTGAATAGTCGCCTAGGGAAACCCAGCCAGGCAGAGGAGGCAGTGTCCATACCCCAGACCCAGAGGTCACAGGTAGAGTGCAGCAAGTGCTCTGATGTACTGTGTATGCAGCCTCATGTCAAAGAGCTGAATCCGGAATACTCTTATCTTTAAGTCCACGTTAAAACCTAGGCATTCTGTGAATGTGCAACAAACGCAGAAAAAAATGCGCTTTTACACGTGTTCACAGAATGCGTCAAAAACATGCAACACGCTTGTGGTGCCATTACTTGATTAAATAAACGTGCAATTTTTTTCCCATGCAAAAGGCTGGACACCTGTAGCAGAATCTGCTATATGGGCTACTTTCCTGCGTTTGTCATTCGTGTGGCACCCATTAAAATCAATGGGGACACGCTGCAAACGCGGGAACAAATGTGCTTGAACGCGATATGCATTCCCGGTAGGTGTGAACAGGGACTTAACGTTGTCTGAAGATGCCATGTTCAGTTAAACTAGCCATACACTGGTCAAATTTCGACTGAGTCCTGCTGATTTGGCTGAAATTTGACCAGTGTGTGGCTGATTCGGCACCCCTCCATTTGACAAAAGTAGATTTTTTTTTTTTATTTCAATTTTGTTAAAGGAATCTGTGTGAAAATTCTTGGCTGGACAGTAACCGCACGGCACTACCAGCACTAGATGGTGCTGAGGAGCATAGCAAATTCCAATGTTCCTCAGCGCCATCTAGTGCCCATAATGTGTTGTGCAGTTACTGTTCAGCAAACCTGTAAGTGTATCAGTGTGCCCCTCTTCTCTGTCCTCTGAGCCTGCCCAAAGGGTTGTAAATCAGCCCCTAAGTGTATATCTGGCCTTACTCCGATAATGACCTGTCCTTTTGTATCCTTAAGTCAGTTCAGTGAAGTTATGATCATTAATAAAATTATGTATATACCAATATTTGCCAGATCTGAACAGCCAATCAGTTTCTATGCCTGCATAAGTATCTGCCCCCCCTGTGGCTCTGTCTTGGCACCAATACCCTAGTGGGCAAACAGCTGGATTTTTACTAAAGTAGAACTGAAGCCAAAAAGTTTTGGGTAGAGTAAGGCCTCGTTCACACAGGACGATCTGACCGCATCTGAACAGGACACCTGGGAATCCATAGGTTCCTACCACAGGAATCCCGGGTCGCCCTGTGTGAACGAGACCCTTTTTTGCCTTTGTCACATTAGAGGAGATGTATGAAGATGTCACCAGCACACCAAAATCATTTTCAGGATCACCAAATGTTCATTTTATTAAAGATTCTTGTCACAGAAAACAAGTGATTTCCGGAGCACGCAGGGTCCCTTCATCAGGCTTAGCATTGAAGGAGATTAGGGGAGATTTCCTTTCTTGCCTGATCTCTACAACAGGAAGTGATTGCAATGTTTATGGTGAGCCTTAGGGTCAACATACATGTTACAATCTGACTGGACAATTTTACCAAAACTAACAATATAAGAAAATACCTAAACTGTCCAACCAATTTGTATCCAATCAGGCAGGCTCTTGCACTACATAGTTTTTTTTTGTACATTTAAAGGAGATTGTACAATCCGATTATAATGTATGTGGTGAGCCTAGGTTGTGCCTTTTATTATTATATATCACCAACTGTTAGGGTCACCATACGTGTTACAATCTGACCATACAATCTTTGTACAATCATCTTTAGATCTACCAAATCTATGTAACATGGGGACCTTCCTAAATTATCCAATCAATTTGTATGCAGTTGGGCAGGCCTTTGCTCTTCTTTAGATCAGATTGTAACTTGTGTGATGTGTTTTATATGAATCCATTAACAAAAAGGGGTATGCTTTAATATTATAGTGCATAGAACAATCAATGATGTGCTGTAAACCCATAGCTACCATATACCAGTATTCAGGAATGTCATACACCAACACAGTCTGATCTTGAACTGAATGTTATGGGATACTGCATGCCACAGGTCTGGACTGTAATGCTATAGGTCAGGTGTAGTCAAACTTCATCCCTGTTTGTTTTGGTGAAATTACAAATTGTATCATGCCTCTGCCCCTGGAAGTCATGCTTGTGGCTGTCAGAGTCTTGTAATGCCTCATGTGACTTGTAGTACCACAACACCTGGAGGGCAGACGTTTTGCTACCCCTGCTACACATATGTTGCTCTGAACGATGTATTGCTTTATGTGTATGAGAAACACAGGTTGTTACGATAATGACTACTTCACAACTTCTCTGTTATGTAGGTGAATGACACAGCCGAACCAATACTTAGGAAGAGTCTGACCAGTACGCAGAGCATGAGAATCCAGCGGGAGACAGATTTCCTCAAGTAAGTCGTTTGTGACACTTCCATGTTTGTGTAGCCCAAAGTGAGTAATCAGCTCGCCCAGAGAAGAGAGGGATTGTCTTTTATCTAGTTATAGGACTAAAGGCATTTATTTACAGTTCTGTTATTATTTTTCGTAATGTATTACTATATAGCATGGATAGGCAAACCTCAACCCTCCAGATGTGATGAAACTACAAACTCCATCATGCCTCTGCCTCTGGAAGTCATGTCTGTGGCTTTTAGAGTCTTGCCGTGCCTCATGGGATTTGTAGTTGCACCACAGCTGGATGGCTGGAGGTTTCCTACACCAGCTGTATAGGGATGCATATCCCACATGACTATTTCCCCTACAATCTAAGTACTGTATATACAGAGTTCTCATTCATGTTAATGACACTCCAGCTGTCCCGGTACTCCTATCTTCTCATAACTCTAATCTCTTCTTTTACTCAAATGCTTCTGATAACAGATACAGGTCATGAAGGTAGGTTGCTCAGAATAATAAATAAGTTGAATCATTTGAACAAGTCTAATTGCAATTACAAATCTATATTATTGGTATAGGTGGCCGTGGATGTGCAATAAAGCTGGTTGTGGCCAGTTTGACACCGAAATTGCTGTCTCTTGCTCTCTGTATAGTAATTCCACTCATTTGAGGTTGTCTACCCCAGTAGGGTTTTGTCTCCTACAGTGCACTTTCTGGGTCTCAATGCTCTTCAGCCGCCATACTAGTTCATCCCACACTCCAGATTCCCCTGCAGTGTCTACACGCATGCAATGCACCAGCTTTCCATTAAGCCAGGTATACACGGTTCTATTTTTTCCATTTAACTCGCGGGCCAGTGGCCGCTGCCAGAATACCCAGGGGGAACTTGAAACTGACTGGATTGTAAAAGGGGGAGTAAACTCGGGATTCGACATAACAACGTTACAGGAGAACCTGGATAAAATAGAAGCAACTACATGGGAGATGAGGTTTAATATTAACCCCTTCGTGACTGACGACGTACAGTGTACGTCATGTAAGGTTTCCCACACACCTTACATTCTGACCATTCAATCTCTGTACAATCAACTTTAGATCTACCAAAACCATCTAATATGAGGGTCTATATAATCCATCCAATTAATCTGCATCCAATCAGGCAGGCCCTTGTACTACATACTTATTGGTAGTTGTAAAGGAAATTGTACAATCAGATTGACAGCCATGCCTGTGGCTGTCAGAGTCTTGCAATGCCTTATGGAATTTGTAGCTGCACCACAGCTGGGGGGCTGGAGGTTGCCTACTTTGGCTGTATAGGAATGCATATCCCACATTTTGGTGTTACAAAACAGGCATGCAGACTACACATTAATGGGCGCTCCACTGGGGAAGTCGGAGGTGGAAAAAGATTTGGGGATCATAGTTGACTGCAGACTTCGTAATAGCATGCAATGCCAGGTGGAAGCAAAAAAAAGAGTACTGTCATGAATGAAAAAGGGAATGTACTCTACAGACAAAGCAATCATTTTGCCACTTTACAAAACACTGGTTCGGCCTCATCTAGAGTATATGGTTTAATTTTGGTCACCAATCCACAGAAAATATGTCCTTGAACTGGATAGAATCCAGAGAAGGGCGACCAAACTGATAAAGGAGCTGGAGGAGCTAGGCTATGAAGAAAGATTGAAAGATTTATATTTGTTCAATGTAGAAATGAGGCAATTAAGAGGGGACATGATTGTGGTGTACAAATTGTTTAATGGTGATGGTAATATCAGTAATAAACTGATTACAGGAAACTCCCTAAAGAAGACTAGAAGCCACCACCTGATAATGGAGGGAAACAAAAGGTTTAACCACAGAGGGTGTAGAGGATTCTTTTCTGTTAGAGTGGTAAAATTGTGGAACTCTCTTCCACAAGCAGCGGTACCAGCAGAGAGTATGGAATCATTCAAGACCCATTTAGATACTTTCCTCACATAACAGAACATACATAGGTACGGGTACTATTAATGACTACTACACACAGACACACACACACTCACATAGGTTGAACTCGATGGTCCTCTGTCCTACTATTCAACCTCAAATACTATGTATTGCTAGTCATACACGGATATAATTTAGGCCGTTTCCTGCTGAATCAGCTGAAATTCAGTCCATGTCCTGGCAAGATCACTCGACTCAACAGATGAATGATCATCTGTATGATAATCTATGTAAATTGACCTCATAGCCTTTTATGTTTTTACCCAAATATGATATGTATGCTCACATCCCCCCTATGACTAAAATATATATTTTTTTTAATTGTCCATTGAGGGACACAGGAACAGTAGAAATCATACAAATGGGTTATATTGTTGCTTGTAGGAGGTCTGGAGACGGGAAGCAGTATATCTTGGTTGTATATGACTTCCACTGTTCTTGTGTCCCTCATTGAACTCCCAGAAGTTTTTTTTAGATTAAGTACAAAAACCTTTTTTTCAGGTGGTTAGACCCTTGAAGCTTGCCACACAAGTCCAAATTAGGCCTCCTGATACTGCAATCGACATGTTGAAATCTGAAATGTATATTGCTACCATCAGGGGCATTGCTAGGATTACGAAAGATCTGGCACAGCTTTGGGAAAACAAAGAAACAAGATGCTGCAAATGGTGGGCGTGGCCACGCTAACCTGACAGTGGGAGTGGCTTAAAGGGGTAGAAACAAAAGCTGCATAAATTCAGCCATGAGTGTTCAAAACTATTACAGCTCACATCCCGGCCATTTTACATATAAGTGTATAGCTTTTGGCCTTGACAAATTATAACAGCCCATAGGTTTTCTTTCTCTGCAAATAATCTGTAGTTTTCATCTTCAGTTTTCTTATTGGATCCATGTAAACTTGTTTATCTAATATCCTTTATAACTTTCATTAACCTAGTGTGCTTCTAAATTACAGGTGTGCCCACTGCTTAGCCCCTCGCCCATCTGATCCATTTGCTCGCTTCTGTCAGGAATGTGGCTCCCCTGTTCCACCAGTGCCTGGACGTCGCTTGCCACCGCCAGAGGGCGCTCAGGTCGGGATTCTTGTAGTTACCTACTTCCTATTATTGCAAGATAGAAACGCCTAAAGAGTAATAATCAAAAATCACTGCGCTGGGAATGAGTGACTCGAAAAGATCGCCTTGACTAAGCTCATAGTTACACCTCCATATAACAGTGCTCAAGCAGGTGCTGCGTGTAGCAGTCTGTTCTTCTCTATGGGAGGATGTGGCCATACGCTGTTATACACACACCCGAACTGCACATCGGTGCGGGTCTGGGTGTCCGTGCTTAGGACGCAGACAGGATGCAGTCGCAGTGCGAATGAGGCCTTAAACTCCACCTTTTTACATATAAATCTTCAGGAAAAAATATGTTTTTTTTAACCTATTTATAAGTTTATATCATGTCATTATTTTTATTTGGTATAAGGTATAAGCGACTGGAGTAAAGCATATTTCTCTATTGTCCATTGAGGGACACAGCTTTGAAGCATCTGATACCTAGATTTATACTGCTGCCTCTAGGAGAAATAGGCCAGCACAAATTTGCCATAACCCCTCTCACTCGCCGGTGTTGTTTAGTGTCCTCAGGCGACTGAATGTATGCTACTTTTCTGCTTTATTATTTTAGTTTATTTAGTTTCTTCATTAAAATTCTTCTAGAAGAGCTACTAGTCAATTCATACTGGAGAGAATTAAATCCTGGAAGTTTCGCTAGCTAGCTGACTGAACCTAGAGATTCATACCGGATATGTAAAATCCTGGAAGTTTCTCTTGTTATTAACAAAGTCAGGATGGTCTCAGTACTTATGCTTTATCCTGCGATGGTGCAGAGTTCCCGTGGACATTACATAATTTATTTGGTCAGGCCAGTATTACTTAGGGATTCCTGCAATAAGGGAACAGGGCCACGGAGTCATATATTACTCATGCTTTATACGATGAAAATTATGGACATAGGTTTTATTCTATAGCTTGAGCTGAGAAGCCTTTATTCCATAGATTGAGCTGAGGAAAACAGGAAAAAAATACTTATTTCCAAAGCTCATCAGCTCCATCTCGTGGCCATAATGCTTTCTTCCACCACAAAACATTCAACCTGAATGCTCACATAGAACGATCATTCACAGATATTCGAAAGGTGAAGGGCCCTGCAAATTGTTTATGAACAGACCCCTAGGTATCTTGATAAGACATGTTATGTGGATTATGGTTTTTTTGTCATTTTACAGATGGGGCTGTGTGTGGAATGCAGAACGATGGTCCCTCTGAACACCCCCTCTTGTATTGTGTGTGAAGCTCCTTTGTTTGCACAGATGCAGCCCCAAGCTAGTATTCATCTCAAGGTATGTTAACCTTAAGTGCCATTTGTCTTTCTCGCATACAGCTTATGTAAATACAAATTTTGTGGTAGAACATTTACTAAAAATATGTCCAGAGCAACCACTTATAGGCTATAAAATTAAGTAAAATTCTAAATGGTTGCTATTTGGAACACCCGTTTCCCTTTACAATGATGACCTTTGCTGTGTTTATGTAGCCTTACCAATATATCTGTTCAAATGTCAGGGCGATTTACCTAATTTCCGCCATTACCAACATTTCTGCTCTTATCTTGTACAGTATATTATATATGCAGGGCTGGATTTAGTGCAAGCCACTTGTTTGACAGTTCCTAGGGAAAAAGAGTTTTCAGATTGCTTTAACTGTGTTCTTATTTTGTTTCACTGTTCTGCATGTTTGTGGCTTAATTCAGCAATAGAACCATAGGGAGGAAGTTACAGTTGAAAGTAGGCCTCATATTGCTTCCAGAAGCACATTATGGCTATCGATATATTCACTGTGTGTGTATGTATGTATGCATGTATGTATATACTGTAATATATATATATATAATATTGGGCATTGAGAGACAGAGAAAGAAAGAGAGAGATGGACATGACAGAGGAATCGTAAATTACATTTTCTCTGTGTGTACATCCCACTCTACTTTCCGTTGTCATTTTGCAGTAGATGGAAGGTGTAGAAAGGGAATGAATTATGTAAACTGCAAACTGTCACTTATCCTAAAACCAGGGGGACACACCACTAGGATTATGAAAATGTTTGTTGTACTGAAATTTAAAGGAGCACTAGTGTTAATAGTATTGTATTCTGATATCGAAATGTGATTAATATGTATAAATATAGTGTTCAGTATATGATTTCATTTTTTACGTTGCAGGCCTTTATTTCTACAGCATTTTTCTCCACTTTGCCATTCAGATTAGGCCGTCCAGCAAAAGTGACAGCGACAGGGGTTGGGACAAGCTATGCATTGGCAGGACTGCTGAAGTAGTTGCAGCAATGGTTTTTTTTTAAGAATAAAAGGTGACTATTGTAAGCACCCTAGGAGTGTGATAGTTTTTTCAAACCCCTGTCATTGTCCCTTATCAATTTAAATAAAAAAAATATGTATTAACTTATTAGTATTAACATATTAGTTATCAGCCTACCGAGTTTTTATACAATAATGATCCTGTAACTAATCTATCCAGCTTTATTTCTTCATTGTTCAAAACAACTATCACTACTTTTTATGGAAAAAAAGAGTACTAAATAACAATTTTGTATTTGTAGGATAAAACTGTGTGCCGTTCCTGTGGAACTGGAAATCCCATAAACCTAAAACACTGTGTGACTTGTGAGGCCAAGCTACCAGAAACCCAAACGGTACAGATTGTTTGTGTTCATTGTTTGTAAAGGAAATCAGAATGCTACAGTGGCTGGAATGCAAGTTTGTAAATCAGAAAAGGAAATATTTAGTAAGTTGGTGCATATGGGATGGCTGTGACTGAAATGGAACACTGCTCAAAATCAGAGGGGAACAGTTTATCCTGCTTGGGTGAAATGGGCCCAGAGATCAATGAGACCTACGGTAGATGTCCAGGCTAAATTTAGCAGTGTCAGTGTGCGTCAGGTAGCCCGACTACAACTGTTTATTTCCTTAATTTCATTAATATAATATATCATTCTGTCTGGCTGTGCTTTTGTGATAGGCTATTAGTACAACTATGTCATTTTTTCTTTCTTATGGCAGCTAATATACAGCGGAGAGTCAGCACCTCCTTTACCTACCCAGACGGGAAAAATGCAGGCTTGCTCCAAGTGTGGCCGTGTCAACTTGGCAGATGCTCGGTTCTGTGACTGGTGTGGGGCAAAGGTAATATCGCACTTCTAAAATAACTGATGGCCATTTCTATAAGCTTCAAGTGAGAACCATACCAATGATTTTGTTTTTGTTTTTGTTTTTTTAGCCAGGCCCCTCTGTCAGTTATCTGACTTGCTCTAAGTGTGGGGCCAGCAACCATCCCTATGCCCATTTCTGTGCAACCTGTGGGGTCTACCTGGAGCCTCCGGCACGATTCTCAGCCCAGCAGAACAGGATGATAAACGGTACAGGCCGCATGACACAATCTGTGGTAAGCAGTAAATTGAACTTTTCCATCGTTTTTCTCTATTCTGATCTACAATCTGCCTACAGACAGCAGAAGCAGCCATTTGTGTGGAGAATTAGTGTTGTTCATAGGCGGAATTGAGGAAGACATGCATGCCTTTTACATTTCAATGTTTCTGAACCACCTGAATCCAAACACTAAGCTATCTCTACTCTACTTAAAGATAGCTACTTGGCTTCCAGGATGTGCCAATTAAATTTGCTTTAACTCCAATGCAAAATGATTGTGTTGCACTGTTCTGCCATGGAGTGCTGTAAGTAAAGGCTCTGTAGCAGGATTGAAAGCCCAAAGGTTCCTGCACTGAAGCCCATCTGGATGGGCCAGAGCTACTGAGACAGCATTCCATTTTCAAACAAAGCTGGGACAACTAACTCCTAAAGCAGCGCCCTTTTAAAATGTCACTTGGCCACATTGATAATTAGGGTTTTCCAGAGGTAACAAATAAACATTGTACCCAAGACTGTATTTTGACGATTCATGGCAAAGTTACAGGTTCCCTAGATAAATGAGCTCTTCCATGGATGTTACTAACTGTGCCCCTCTGCTGTTCATTTGACGAAGCCTGGAGAAAAAGCCATGTGTAGGCTCCAGGTCGGTCTGGGTTTGTGCTTACACTGGGATTAGGACCTTCCCCGACCCCCATGTGACAAGGCCCGTACTTGGTAATTGGCTGCACAGTCAGCAAGTGCTGTTTAGTGTGGAGTAGGGCGAGATTGACATACTTTCCAACACCTAGAAGGGCCAAGGGGCTCCCACAGATGAACACGGTGGTGGGGGAGCACAGGATTGTACGTATCAGCAGTGCAGGAGCTTGACTATCAATGATATATTTAGGGTTGCAACCAACTAATCGATTAACCAATAATAATTGATAATGAGAATAGTTGCCAACTATTCTCATTATGGATACGTACTTGGTAATTGGCTGCACAGTCAGCAAGTGCTGTTTAGTGGGGAGTAGGGCGAGATTGACATACTTTCCAACACCTTTCCAACACATACTTTCCAACACCTAGAAGGGCCAAGGGGCTCCCACAGATGAACACGGTGGTGGGGGAGCACAGGATTGTATGTATCAGCAGTGCAGGAGCTTGACTATCAATGATATATTTAGGGTTGCAACCAACTAATCGATTAACCAATAATAATTGATAATGAAAATAGTTGCCAACTATTCTCATTATGGATCAGTTGGTTGGATCCCCTAACTCTTTCCTCCATGCTGGCAGAAGGGCAGAGCAAGTAGTGGGCGGGTGCATTTGACAGCCTGCTACTGGCTATTGCAATTTGAAATGGCCAAAAGCAGGCTGGCTATTGCAACAGCCCACTACCTGCTGTTTTTACATTCAGCTGCTGTCTGTGGAATCTTGCCACTGGCAGCTGTGATTCCCTGGCTGAAGCTATTCAAGCACAATGTGCTTACAATACAATTATTTAAAAAAAAATAATTATAAAGGTGGGAAAAAAGTCATTTTCAGTTACAGCCTGACAAATTCTGCTGCGAGAGGTGCGTTGCAGTGCTGGCACCCCAAACGCACCTCCCACAGTGTGATCGCCTGCACTGGAACGCATGGTACCGCGATGCCGTGTGTTCCAGTGCAGTGCGATTGCAAAAAATTGTGCATGCAGTTTTATTCTGAAGTAAAATTTGTTTGTAACACTCCATTTGTGTATTTTATCTTAATTTAAGGATGTTATTTATTTAAAATTTTGCCCTAAATGAACAAAACACAGGTTGTGTGATTAGGTACCCTTAGCTTACGTATAGCATTCTGTAAGCTACCACTTTTGTGATGACACAAAGGGTCTGATTTATTAAAGTGTGATGTACTATGATGTAAGGCAATCCTAAGCTTAATGCCATCACTAAAATTAAATTTTTATTACCAATATTACTATTTTACTAACAGCAAACAAGGTAATGTGAACTTCCAAAAAAATAGTACAAAAAATGGCACTCTGGCATTTTGCCAAAAGTGCAATTTTTGGCCGATATGTTTCAGCGGCTGAAATTTCCGGTGCATCCCTAGTTATTATGTGATAGGAGCCTTGCTCCTTTGAATGATAGAATGTTAAACTAGTCATCTGCTTCCATACTCTGACACCTTCTCCTGCTGATGTAAAATTGGAATTAATGGTGTAAAATACCTTATGTAACCTTCCGTTTTAGGCTTTAGATGGTCGTGCTTCTTGGCAACCATTATCAGTCTCATTGCCAGACCCTAGACTAGGGACCGAGAAAGTGGACAAAGGGTCGCAGACTGTGGGATTGTTTTACCCTTCTAGCAGACTTATGGAGAAGAAGGAGCTGGAGCTGTTATCAGAGAAAGAGAAAAAGGAGAAGATGAGTGATCGCAGACCTCTTGTAACAGCAGTCAGTCCAGGCCGAGGTTAGACAGCTTATGTAATACAGGATGATAGCTAACCACATACATGCAGATGGTGCTGGGGTTAAAACTGAACTCAAGACACATTTATAAAACACTGCTGCAGGCTTTTTAAAGTCACACTCCAGGTGGGTATGTAAATTAATACAAAGCTGTGTGTTATGTGCAGAGGGCTGCTGCAATGTATAGAAAATCTTACATTGCAGCATGCCAACTCCTGCACATAACACTTCTGGGCACTGAGGAGAAGGAGAGATGTGACTTGAGCGGTACAGCACATTGGTCCCATCACCCGCCATTCTGTGATTTTAGGAGGAGAGATGATGTCACATCCCTGCCCCCTCCTCTCCTTCGCCGATCACAGAATGCTTTGTATTTAAAAAAAATAAATTCAAGACATTTTGTGAATGGGCAATAGTGAGGAGGGGCGAGTGATGCGACCGGAGCGTTGTACTGCTCGAGTCACATCCGCCCCTCACATCAGTACCCAGAAACTCTGCGTTGTGTGCGGGAATGGCATGTTGCAAGGTATTATTTTTATTTGCAGCGGCCCTCCGCATGTATCACGCAGCTTTGTAATGATAATTTACACACTCTGTACATTATCATTTTGCCTGGACTGTGGCTTTAAGTGTGGTTTATACTTCTTTCCCCTCTTCCATTCAGAAGAATGAAGGGTTGTTTGCCTGCTTCACAGACCCAAAGTAAGAGAAGCCTACTTCATTCTAATGAATGTTAATGCATGGGGGCAAAAGTTTGCAGGAGGAGGCAGAAACCGGTCACATGACCCAAACAGTTGTGTTTTGCATATAGTTTCAGTTGCCTTTATCGCTGGATCAGCTGATAATCTTGACATGCAGCTTTCAACCAGTGAAGCCTTTGGGATGTACTTTGTACAGGACACAGTTTTTCCCTTCTGGGGTACCCCGTGGGTGTAAATGCCGGTACTTACTCTCAGTTTGACAGTCAAGGTCCCATTTTGTGTAGTAGAACCATTGACAGCATCTCTTTTGTCACAGTTTGGCCAGTGCTTGTCAGTGATTCAGCTATTATAATGTAAATATTTTTTACACGGTTGCTGCAAAAAACCTGAAAGTATTTTTTTTTTTAAAGTCCTATTTTCGGGGCTCATTCACACGTAGTGCACATCTGTACGGCATGCACACCACTGCAGAAGAGACCTGCTCCTGGGGGGGACAGGTGCTGCAGGTAATTGTGTGCAGCTGTCTGTACCTCCCGGGAGCAGGTCTCTCCATTGTGGGCGTGCACGCCGTAAGGATGTGCACACGCATGTGAATAAGCTTTTTTTCTTTTCTCCTTCCCTGCTCTCTTCTTTTACTTCCACCCCTATTTACCTCTAATCTGTATGAATGTTTTCTGTTATGGTAACATTGCATTTTCTAGTAAACTGTGGACCCCAATATGTGGCTGATATAAGAAAAACACAGTTTAATGCAGTTATTGTTCATTTAAAAAACTGATTAAATATATTGTTAAATGTAACTTAACTGCCCTGGTATCAGCCTTTTGTGGTTCACTGTACAGCAGCATTCATAATGTAGGAGGGACAGTCAGTACACTCTAGTATGCTGACAAAAGGAAAGAGTGGGACGATGATCTTAGCAGCTTGCTGCTGCTCATTCACTGTCCAGTCACAGGGTGGGGGCAGAGAGATGACCAAGTTGTAATGCTTAATGGAAGTAGAGAAAAGCCATTTTACCAACTTGGTTTTGCTGTCTGACAGTGCTGTGCACATCTCAGGACTGAATAAAACAAAAAGATAAATTCTTTGGCAGATAAGACTGCATATAAGTACTGTACTGGTTACCTAGAGATCTCTTCTTTTTGTTAATGATATATATATATGTGTGTGTGTGTGTGTGTGTATATATATATATATATACAAAAAAACATATCTGTATCACTTCTGTACCATTAGTAATTACATGGCGCGTTGTTGGTTAAGACAGGTTCTGTAATATACAGTCAGTGGACACTTTAGATTTCTCATGATTTACAAATATGAATCTATTCTTGTAGGCTATTGGAGGCAGCAGCTGGATCACATTTTTGCCCATTTGCGCTGCTATACACAGAACGACTCTGAATTTAAAGCATTGATTGGAAAACCTCGAATGGGAAGAGTAAGTATGATGGATAACTGGGAAAGTGACAGGATAACACAAAGGGCATCTTCTGACCTCCGCCAATACTCCCTCACTGCTCCTTACTCCTTCAGGAAAAAGTATGGAAGTTTATACACAAGGAAATGAGCTAATGGGAAGAGATGTAGAGACTGAGTTGCATTGTTTCCCAGTGATGTATGTAAAAGACATCCCTGTCCTACCTTTAGACTTGTGTTCTTCCTGGTAATCCCTGTTATCTCATTGAGAGCTCTAGAAAGCATGCACATCTAAAGACTTTTTTCATCTAATTCAGTATTTAAGTCCTGTATCTGCAGACCACTTTTTCAAGAAATAAGAAGTTTGAGCTGATCCAAGTAAACTCTAAAATGGGAAAGAGGGACAAGCTTACATGTGAAAACTTGCTTGATTTGTCTAAATACACAGATGGGAAAGTACCAGAGTTCTTTAGGGAGAACCTATGCCAGTGGTGGCGAACCTTGGCACTCCAGCTGTTTTGGAACTACAAGTCCCATGAGGCATTGCAAGGCTCTGACAGCCACAGACATAACTCCCAGAGGCAGATGCATGTTGGGATTTGTTAAAACCAGATATTGAAATATGTATGTGTGAACCTTAAATGATGATTGATTTTCTATATTTTAATCTATCCAAGTTTGGAGATTCAGTTTTTTACTGTACTGCTGATTTTGAGTTTACAATTGGTAATCAATCAGTAAGCCTGACAGGCAGACCTAAGTATAGTTGAAACAGTTGTTAGGAATGCTCAAGAAGACTTGGCCTTCAAAATGAGTTTGAAGAATAAACCACATTACTCAGGACATAGACTATGATGCCCAAAATGGGATAGAAGGAGAACACATGACTCAGCTACTAGAGTATGGCACTCCCTTATGCTAATCAGAAAGACTTTTAAGGTAAACATCACATAGGTTATTTTAAAGTAAAAGCATGGATAAAAGGATGAGGGATG